CGAAGGTATTATCTACAAAATATCGGATCACCCGTGTAATTTTTTCTCATCTCGACCAAATATTAAGTTGAAATATGTCATGGAATAAACAATTTAAACCTGTACATTATATCTTAAAAAAGTTATGATTAGTGTTGCATTTTTATAAAAATTATGCCAGAATTCACATTCGACTTATTCTTTTATGGAAAAAAATTCCTTGTCAAAAATGAGGTCCTCTATTTTGCGCAAAACTGTTACAACAAACTACAAGTATAATAGTTATTTATGGTACTAGCATGGCTGTGCAACTAGCATTGCCAGATTCGCAACAGGGAGGGGATGGAGCTTGTCCAGACACACGAAGAACGGGGTGAGGAAAAGGAAGTAACTTTAAGTTTGTTACGTTTGTTACAAGTTTTTTCACTATGTAAAATCTAGTGTCTTTAAATTTTTTACTAACTTTTCCACACTGAAATTCACGACTCACGTTTGTTTAGCATGACGTTTTTCTTGATTATATTATGTATTTGTAGTAAGTATGAGAAAAATATTGGAAGTTTTGGCAAAAAGGTAAGTAAATATTAAATTGAGTTTTCCAATTAAATATAGTGAAAAGGGTTATGTTTGTTTACACACAAAAGGAAAATATTTATTATTTATTTATGATGTCAAAACATTCATATTCTTAAAAGATTGTTTTTTCTCCGTCAACTTTCCATTTTGTTTGTGTGTTTAGAAAACAGGTTTAACAGAAAATATAAAGTTTGTGAATAGAATTGTTTGTTTGTATGCAACATTAATAACCGCGCCATTATTCCATGGCTAGAAATTAGCCTCAATGATTTGGAATCGAGGGGATTATCCCTCTTTATAACATTAATAACCACATTAAAATTGCTAATAAATACTGTTTTATAAATTTTGCAGTTTTTTTTATGTTTATTTAAACGAGTAAAATACGATTTTACCATTATAAATCGTAATATCGTATATATTTTTTAATATTAAAAGGAAGTAGTATTAGGGTCGTATGACACTATGCTAAAATTATAACTAATTTCAGTAATTAACTAAGAACTTTTTAATCTTGCATAGTATCACACAGAAACTGCAACATTTTTGTTGCAATTTGTGGATGATACTATGCCTGATTAAAAAGTTCTTAATTAATTACTGAAATTAGTTATAATTTTAGTATAGTGTCATATACGACCCTTAGAATGTATTTTTAGAAGCCCGCGCAAATTGGCATCTGTTTTACCGGCGGTAGATAATAAAGTAATCGTCATTATCGTCTCGGCTATCTTTAGTTCAATTTTATTGGGCGGCCAGACACAGTGAGGGAGCCAGTTGTTGTCTTTTAATGTCAGTGGTGTTTCGATTTTGGTATTAAGAAAACGACCTTCTTGTATTATATGTTTTGTGGGTACTAGTGTGTTCCGGTATATGTCACGCTGGGAAATGTTTTCAATTTTCCCAAGTAACTTATATGACTTAACACACGAGTGCCATACAAAATTTTATCCAACACTTTCATAGAATTTCGTTAAGTATTTAAGTACAGTAAATTATTATTATTATTTAATTATAGTAAATTTCAAGTTGTCAATGTCAGAAAAAGTAATTTAACCATAGACCTTATAAACTATGGACTGGCCTTAGAAAAAGAGGTCAATCGCGCTGATGTGTGCAAGGCAGATGAAGCTAGTTGAGGCAAATACCGGTAAAACAAAGGATGATATACGGGTAACCCGTACAAAATGCCGTAAACAAACTTTGAAGTAAATGTCATGTATTGACATTATTGATCGATTTCTTGAATTTTTGTGCGATTTAGTTAGTGTATGTGAAAGATTCGTAAAAACTAAATATGGTGTAATCGTGTTCTGCGATAAATTGCGTAAAGAGACGTTTTAAGTAGAGAAAAAATTAAATTTCATAGGTAGGAAAGAAGTTATGATGTTACCAACATGTTTATACTTTTCGCATCTTTCTGAAAATAACGACCAAGTACAGTTGTCTCTGATGATAACTTATTAGATTATAATATTTCCCCCATCCTCAAAATAAAATGTCATTTTAACGTCAAAATTTTGCCGCTTTAAAGTGTTACACTTCAAATTATTTTTTAACATCAAACCGAATGTAAAGAAAAAGTTTTAACTGAAATGTACTTATAATATGCTCCAACAAAAATTCTATTCAAATAATATGTTGAACGAAGAAAGCATCGACATAGTTTCAATTTATACAGTTCTGCAAAGCAAGAAAATATGAAATATTCAAAACAACTACGTCAGAAGAGCTTACAGTAATTTTAACAGATCGAGTTTACGATATGAGGAAAATAAATGGAGAAATACATAAATAAGGCATTATAAAAACTATTTGGAATATTATAACTAAAACAATTCAAATATTGTACTGTAATTAGGACAGTAATATAATAAAACCTTTTACATACGTACACTACTAGAAAAAATGAAAATTTTTTGTCTTTTAGTCTCTATATTATTTTTATAGTCTTTGAATACGGCCCAACAGAAAAAAGAGGTAAGGAATCGATAGCTGATTGGTTGAATTAAATGTAGCGCGCTGCAATCGAAATTCTGTGAACGAAGCTTAAGCCCTTACTAGCTCCATCTCTCTCGCACACGTCCGAGCGATTGCCGTTTATATAGGGAAAATGACAGTTGGGCGAGTCCAGTAGTTTATAAGGTCTATGAATTTAACGAAATTAATGTATTTTTAAATATTACAAAGGATGCGAGTGTCAACCTAAATTGTGTCTGTAATTAAGGGTTTGTCAGTAAACAAGCAATATTTTTTGAGTTGAAATCACGTTGAAATCCTAAAACCAAGACAGAAAAAATGGAAAATGTGGAAATTCCATCTGAAATTTTAGAAAAAGCTAATGCGGCTACTGCAGGCATCATTCCGGAGAAATCAAAATCTATATACAACAAAGAACTGAAGGAATTTCAAGATTGGCAAATCAAAGAAGGGGTGAAAGGCGTACATGAAGATGTCTTGCTGGCTTATTTTTTCAATTTAAGTGAGAAATTAGCTCCATCCACATTGTGGACTAAATATTCCATGTTGAAGTTAATTTTGAGAGTTTACAAGAACATTGAAATTTCTTCATTCAGAAGACTAGTGGCATTTCTAATGTCTAAGCACTAACATTTTCAACCAAAAAAACCCAAGGTCTTAGAAAGAGAACAAATCGAACAATTTTTGCGTGAAGCCCTATACTAAGATTATTTTATGGATAAGGTAGGTTCCGCTAAATAGTTTAACTGAGTTATATTTATTAAATATGTTGTTTTTTAGGTGGCGTTGATATTTGGAGTTTTTGGCGCTTGCCGTTGCGAGGAATTGACCCATCTAAGCATAGACAATATAGAGGACAAAGGGCAGTGTATCCACATCATGATTTCAAATACTAAAACGAACAAACCAAGAAGCTTCGCTGTGTTAAATCAAGGATTTTGTGTTAATCCAATTGAATTAATTAGAAAATATTCCAAGCTAAGATCTCAAAATGTGCAGCATAAAAGGTTCTTTTGCAATTTTCAAAAGGAAAAAAGCACACATCAATGTGTTGATAAGCTATCAAAAATCCCTAATGTTATTGCGCGATTTTTGGGCTTGACAGATTATAATTTATATACAGGGCATGGCTTGCGTCGCGCATTTGCAACTCTTTTGGCCATTGCTGGAGGGAATATTACAACATTCAAACGCCACGGTGGATGGAAGTCATCTACCGTGGCAGAAGATTATATAGAAGAGTCAATTTCCAGCAAATTTGATGTTGCTAAAAAGATACAAGGGGTGCAGGCGCTTGAAGCAAGCACAAGCAAAGGGGCAACCTGTTCTATAAATTTACCACAATCATAAAATGATTCCAATAATCCTTTGGCATCAAATTATGACTTTACCATAAATGTTAATGTTAATATTAATAAGTAGGTAGATTGTAAGTTTGTAGCATTTAGCATTTTAGGCTATTTGTTGACTTTTATTACTGTTTCAAATTGGTTTTCTAATAAAAACTAGATAAACAAAACATAGAAATCATAAAAAGACAAACATCTTTTTATAATTTCTATAAGTCACTGGTGGGTTATAAGTCATAACTTACTAGTGACTTATGATTTATAACTCACTAATGACTTATATGCCACATTATTCCTTTAAAACCTAAGAAATGATAGTATCATTATATACAAGTGTTGGATAAAAATATTATTGTATGCAATTATAATTCTAATTTTACCTCTGTGTTTGTAGCAGTAAACAGTATATACGAGATTTGTTCAGAACTATAATTAAATATATCAAAAACGGTTAACTTTAAGAATAGGAATCCTTTAAGAAAATTCACCTAAAAATTGACGTAGAATCCAAAATTGCAATGATATACAGGGTGTTCCATTTAAAATAACGAAGATGACGTCAACTTCCGAATAACCGGAAGCGTTAGGTGGACGCCAAATTTTCTAAATTAAAATCGAAGTAGTCTGAAATATGCAGACTGTTAAGTGTTGTTTTTGGCGTCCACCAAAAATGTTAATAATTATTAATTGCTTGGTCTGAATAAACTTGAAAAACTGGAAGATATCAATATGGTGTATTTATTGGCACTTGTTTGTTGTAAAATGTTATTGTATGTTTTCCATAATCGTTTATTAAATACTGTTTGTGTTTTATGTCAAGATTGTACTTTTTTGTTCCTATACTTATGTATGTTGTTTTTGGAACTTTAATTAATATAACCATTGTTTAATAAAAATTATATACATTTTTTTCGCCACAAACCACGAAGGTATATTAGTATAGAAGAGGACTTTGACGTTAATGTGTTACTATTATTAATATTGCATATTATTAAGCGTATTTTTCATCTAGACAAAATATATATGGTGAGATATAACAGTTAGTTGAGTAACGATTGTTTAAAAAATCTATCACTCTAGATCTAGCCAGCCTACAAGTTAAACCAACAGACCTACCTTTCTTTGGTATCAAAGATTTCAACAACAAGATGGCGTTGTCGTCACAGGCCCATGCATGCATCTTCCGGTAGCTATCTCTTCCCTTTTCTGTTAACTTGTCCCAAGGTTTGGGTTTCGATAGTAGCTCTGAGACTGTGCCCTGGGAAAGACCCAGAACGTACTTGGCGAAGAGTCTTTGGCCGATGTTGTGGATGGAGAGCAGTTCCCGCACCTTCCTTGCTATGTGAAGGGTGTCTGGAAGAGGGATTACGGAATTTATCGATATCTTTGCACGAAGCTTCCAAATGTTCCCCCTTCAGAGGATACAAAGTGAAGGAATCACAATTACCTTTTGGTATTAGAAGTGAAAAAACCTAGCTCAATCTCCAATCACCTACCTAGGTTTTGTGATGCGTACTTGTCCATGTTGTACCTAAGCATCTCCTGCAGTTTGGCCTCCATGGGGTCGCCTTTGGGTATGAGACTCTCTCCTAGTCTTCCCACCATAGAACCTGGTGCCATCCCCAGGTCTTCAGCGAACTTGAAGGGAGATCTATGTTCATCGAAACGATAGGGACTCTTTAGGGAATCCTCGTTCCTAAGGAAGTTGTTCACAGCACACATAGTAGCTGTAAGAGGAATGTTATTGTTGCTGACATGGTGGTTGTTGTTGTCCTCCTGTGGACTCTTCGGATTGCCGTTGACGAGGTTCTCCACGGGCGAGGGATGGCAGACTGGCTCGGGGGGCTGGGGCGTGGAAGCTGAGCTCTTCTCCGCAGTGGTGTCCGCGTTCACGGGGGTGGTGCTCTTCATGGGACCATCTAGAGAAGTAGAGGGTGATTTTGGGATTACTCTGTTTTGCTCAATGTTCCTCCGCCACGAAGAAACTATTTCTTCGCCCAGTAAGCTACCAAACGCGTCAACGTTTTGGAAGGGGGGCGGGAGGTTGTTGGGAGGGGTGATGGAGAGGGTGGGGGGTTGCGTCTGAAGTTGCTCAACCCCTAGAAAAGAAGGAAAAGATCCTCATGAATTACAATGGGGTGGTACATGTTACTGGTGAAACAGACAGTGACAGTGCGAAGGTAGATGCAGTGAAAAATGAAGGTGTTAAATCAAATAAATTCAAAATATTTCCCTTAAATTCTCTCAAATGAAGACAAACAATGTTATTGATACCAAAAATTTAGATATGCAAAAGGTATTTAACAAGATTCTTCACTGATGGTATTGTGCGAAACAACTACTCTACGCACTACAGGCCCCGACTAACATTGAACAATAGATTACATTTTTGGTATCAAAGAGCATTTTTATTTGAAATGATGCCATAAAAAAATTTTAATTAGTCTAATATCGTTCAAATAAAATAAACGTGTATTTTTTTATATTTTTTTACACAATAATAATAATTGATTAGGCACATATATTTTCACTTGCAAATCGTTATCATCGTTAGGTACCAATTTTATATATTAGCAAGTATTAACACTTTGAATATATAATAATTACAGGTTTCTTTTATTATTATTTTTTTATTTTATAATTCTTTAATTTTGTCAAATAAAAATAAAATTTAGATGAACAGATCTTGATAAAAATTCAGTTCCTTTATGTCTAAACAAAGTATTGAGTGTAACTTTTGAGGGCTTTAGATTTATCAGAATTTTAATTATCTTTCTAATTCTTTAGAGTTTGAGAAACAATAGTGTACTTAAAACGAATGGTAGCCATTTTTTAAGTTTTTGATCGAAAATGTGTAACATTGCAATATAAACAGTGTCGGAAATTGTATTATTTTTCATAATTTTTTAAAAGTATGTATAGAGTAAAAGTAAGGCGATATAAAATAACTTGATATTAATAGTTTTTAACAATAATTATAGTAATTAAGTAAGTTATAAGGATATTAATACGTCGAGGTCGAGGGAGTACTTTCAGATGCCTCTGGATCGAGAGATATACGTCGGCTGAGGGCAGTATTATCCTGTAACACCCGTGGTACCCCTAGCGCTTAATGCTGTCAGTGTGTTTTTTAATTTGAAGGTGAGGACTTCCTTAAGGGTTTATGCATTAATAATAAGTACCTATTTTCAATAATCGAAATTATTGAAACTGCAAATTGGCGTTAAAAATAATAATTATTAAAATTTATACTACGTCAATGGAGTATCGTCCCCTTTTTTTATCGTTTTTTTTTATAGTAAATATAAAAACATATCCTTTTATTTCATTTTTTACTCGATTTTAAAATGAAGGTAATTCAAACAAATTCAATTTTTTAAAATTTAAATGTCTTATCAAGTGAAGTCAAATAGTGTTACTGAAATCGTTGGAAACAACTAAATTACAATTCCTAATATACAGCTAATAATAAATAATTACATGAAACAAAAACTAACAATGGTATATCTAAATATAATTAATACAAAAAAAGCAAATTGCTAAATAATGCGTAATTGAAAGAAATATATTGTATTCTTGCTGTGCTATTATCGCACAGCACTCTGTCAAATATTTTTGCTCCAAGTGTTAGTAACTGAAAGTTAATACAACTTCTTCGAGGTTATGTTTTTTCCAAAATTCGAAGAATTTTCTACATAACTTGGCAACCCATACTAAAATGATTAACTGTTTATATTACCATATATAGAATTTTCTGGGAAATCCAAATGAGTGAAAATATACAGGGTGTTCCGTTTAAAAAATGTAATATTTGGCAAGCATCAAATTAATTTTGTGGTTTAGGTTTCTTGATTCTGTATAACTTTTATATAAACTTTATTATGAGTAACAAGGGAGTTATTTTACTTTCTCACACTAATGGCCCACCCTGTATGTAAATAGTAAACAAGTCAATTTCAACCATGACAATTTGTTGCGCGTGCGGGTTGCCTAAACATGTGACGTCACACTAAAAGATTCTATTGTGAAGATTGTTAGTGACCAAATGTTTAAATTTAAAGTGAAGTCATTTATTTTTCTAATTTTTTACATTTAACTGTTTTCTTTTTTTGGTGAAAAGACAAGACCTCCTGTGGTGTGCGCGAGAAAGTGCGAATAAACATACTAAAATTGCCCATCAATACAGTATCAATAATAATGAATTAATGGACATGGTGACCTATCTGCGGAGCAGCGGTTCCAAAAATGTTTTCATCGTATCAGAGTGGTAAGTCAGTAGGTATTAAAAAATATATATTTTCGAGTCTTCGCATCTCGATGTATATGTGTATATCTGTGGTTTTCGCTCAACTAATTTTCCTTAAAGTTCTCATTTTGACTGTTCTCTAAAATAGTAAAAGGAAGGCGTTACGGTTTCTGTATTGTCTAATGTGCGAGGAATGAAGCAAGAGCAAATTGAGTTGTGGACATGAGGAATATAACGACGGAGGGTATTTTGACAAAGATGGACAATAAAAGTTTAGAGGCCTAATTATTGCGAATTTATAGGTATATTTTAAGTGTTAATGCGCGTATAAAATGTCTCACAACTTAGAAATCTATAAAACTGCAGTAATTCTCAAGTCGAAATGATCTCGAAGACAAACCCGAATGAAAATAGATTTAATAGACGAATTCTCTAAAAATAACACGGAATTCCACAGCAAACACAACAACGAACAAAACAAATACGGTTTTTAATGAGTTGTTCAGTTTTTCGGAGTAGCAAATGGAATTAAAAAATACAGTTAACGCCTGGGAATAAACGAAGAAGGCACGCTTGAACAAGGACGGTCTTTACGGGGATATAATTTAATAATAATTTAAATATACCAAAGGCATTAACTCGGCTTAGATAACATCTTATTGTTGTTACTGTGACCGCGTATATTCCCAAAAAGTAATTCGTTAACATAATGCGATAATCATAAGTATTTTTAATTAGAATAGAAATAAATTAGGGGGCCCTGAGCGTGAAGAAGGAAGTTGTGCGTCAAAATCACCAGGTTATCTTCATAGAGGCGTAAAACGCGCAGCAACAGCTTTCCTCAAACGGTCAAATAATTGATAAAGTGCCGTGGCACGAAACTAGTCCGAATTTCGTAAAAAAGACAATTAACTGGTTCCCACAGTGACGAAATTCCTCGTACAATTGTTAGTAAAAACAATAAAAAACGCTATTTCACAAAACAAGGCAATAATAAATATGTTGCTTAAGGTAATAAACATTTTAAAATATGTTGGAATATTAAAAAGGTTACATATGGTTTGGAAACATTCATGCTATATACAGGGTCTCTAATATACACGGAAACGGTCGATTATCTCGTAAAGTAAGATAGCTCGACACAAACGTTTTAGGGTTTTTTAAAATCTATTACAATAAATAATTTAGTACACAGGTTCAGCCAAAAAGTCATGACGAAACAAAGTTGTTTTATCTTTAACAGAACACCCAGTAGGTATATTATTCCATCTTTCAATTTTTCTTGAAATTCTAAACAAAATTCATATAGCACATCATGTACCTAAACTTAACCGTTTTCGAGATATCGAACTTTGAAAATCATTTTGTTATAAATTATACAAAAATATTTGTCCATTATAGTTTAGTTATAGTTCATCAAGTTACCTTTGAAAGTTTCTAGCTCCATAACAACGCTGCGTCGTTCTTTTGTCTAATAGAGATTATCTTGACAACACATGTCAAAAATACGTTTAGTGTGAATAATTTTCTCGCAAAAATTGCATGTTTAAGTGAAACCGAGCGTATTGAAGTTTTAATGATCATAGGATATGGTGATAGAATACGAAGTTGTGGATATTTTTCATGAATTGCATCCCGATCGGGACCGTATTTCTAAATCAACCATTTCAAAAACATTGCAGCGTTTTCATGAAATTGGAGATCGACGAAAAAATGGAAGACCAGTAAACGTTGCAAACGAAGAAGATTGTTTAAACGTCATTTTAGATATGGTGGAAAATTCAATAAATTCGACACTACAGAAGCTTTTAAATCATAACCTAAGTCGATGTTCATTCAAACAATTTGCAAACGAGAAAAATTACATCCATATAAAATTAATTTGTCACAAGAATTGAGTGAAGACAATTATGATCGTAGAATCGAGTTCTGCGAAGTTATTATGGATAAATTACACGAAAATATCAAAATTGTCACTCACATACTGTTTTCTGACGAATCTACATTTTGTTTAATTGGGCACGCAAACCTACACAACTGTAGGCATTGGTCAGACCAAAATCCACATTGGATGGAGGAAGTTCCCACCCAACGACCACAGAAAGTAAATGTTTGATGTGGCATTATTGGTGGACACGTCATTTTATAAACAGAAATTCAACCTCTGGATGATATTTATTACTATTGCAAAAACATATTATTCTAGAGCTTAGACGATTATTCCTGAACAATAACAATCCAATTTAGAGGCAGAATAAAATGTGGTTTCAGCATGACGGGGCTTCTCCACATTTTGGGCATGAGCATGGCTAGATGAAATTTTCCTGATAAATAGATTGAACGCAGAGCGGCAATTGAATGGCCAGCTAGGTCTCCCGATATGACCCCGCCTGACTTTTTCTGTGCGGTCACAGAAAAATGTAGTCTACAAGAATTGGTCGCAAAATATCGAAAGGTTGTTTCCTCTCTATTTTTATTCTGGCGTAACTATTCTTTTCATAAAATTTAAATTCCTGTCCTGGACATTCATTAAAAAAATACATTATCTCGTTTCATGCATTTTTTATCAACTCTGATATATATCCTCCACCTTGTGTAATTTTCAAAATAAATATGCATAATTTGTTACGCTTTTTCTTTTATAAATTTGAGAGTAGTAAAAAGTTACTTTCAAAGTTCGATATCTCGAAAACGGTTAATTTAAGTGGGTACATGATATGAATTTTGTTTAGAACTTCGAGAAAAATTTAAATATGGAATAATATACAGGGTGTTCCATTAAACAATAAGCAACTTTGTTTTATCATAACTTAACTCTTCTTTACTGTAATAGATTTAAAAAAACCCTAAAACATATGTAGAGGCCAATTAGATACATTTTTTTTTATACGCACCTTCACATTCTCTCGACGGAGATTTTTCTCTGTTTTCCTGCGCCAGGCTCTTCGATTTTTCCAACAGCAGTTCAATGTTCTTCCCGTCGGGGTTGTTGGCTAGATCCGACCTCAATATGCTGCAGAAAGAGAAGGAAGATGTCAAACAGTATGTAATGAAACGACAGATTACGGTAAATATTTAGCAATAATATAAATTCAGCCTCTATCTATTCTTATAAATAATATAATAAATTATAATACCATTCAAACAGAAGATAAGAACCATGTTTAAATTATTACCAAACAATTTTAAATACTTTTGCGTCATCGAAAATTACCTGATCTCTCGCTTCAGCTCGTCGTAGTCTTTCTGTGATTCCAATCTGGTTTCCAGCCTCAAAATGTGTTGTCTCTTCTGTTCCAACTGATCTTCCAGCCTAGTAATCTGGGACATAGAAGACTCCTGTAACTTGGCTATGCATCCTTGTAGCCTCTGAACTTCCTCCAGAAGCTGGTTTATCTGAAACAAAAAAAATTTACCTTAGTTTGGTAGCGCAGTGTATATCCCGGTCATAGTTTTTGTCGAGCAGTGTATAACGGTTTCAATTAGAGGGTCTAGCCGTAAAATATATCGGAATATAATCGATAGCTTCCCATTTCTCAACTTAATACAATTTTCTGACGAATCTTGGCACACACGAATTAATTTAGACAAAGCTAGAGTTTTCGATGACGTAGCACCAAAATCAATCAATCGCTTTAGAAAATGAAGACATTATATTAATCCGGAACCCCTATAAGGTGGTGTACAGATGAATTGATTAATTTTATGGGGTAAAATAAACCCCTTTGCTCTATTAACTCGATATTTCATATCGCCTGATCTCCTGGAACTGTGCGGTTGGAAAATATGTTTGCATTTTGATAGATTTTGAAACAATCAATAAATTCGCATATAAAACCAGTTATATTCAATTTTATTCCACTTGTTCTCGACAAGTCTTCTGTAAATTGTGTATGTTTTTAATTAAATTCAGTGGCGTAGGATAGTATTGGCTATTCCGATGTAGAAAGTTTTGATAACCTTTCCAATTATATTGAAACATTTTTATAAATCTAATCCAGTCGATTTCATAGTTTTGACTTAAAAAGAAGTAAGGAAGTGTAAAAATTGAGTTAATAATTTAGTTCCTTTGTCTCTAAAATCAGTATTCCCTGTAACTTCTAAAACAGCATTGGAGGTAACTTTTATAAACCCACATTTTATCAGAATTTTGACGATCTTTCTAACTTTATCGAAACATTTTTAGAAACATGATCCAGTAGAATTTCACAGTATTTGATCTATAAAGATTGAGTTCTTCTGTGTCTAAAAACCGTATTTGGTGTAACTTCTAAAATAGAATCGTACTTAAAAATAAGAACCAATATAATTTTTTCAGTGCAATCAAAAGTTTCTTGCAGAATCTTTCTATAAATTTATCAATTACAGTTGATTGTTAAACATTAGAGTAATTAAAAGGGTTAGTTAAAAATACAGTTTCTTTAACTTTAAAACAATATTGGATGTGATTATTTCCATAAAATGTGTTTATATTTTCTCAAAAATTGATTATTCTGTCGCTCTATTCATTTTAAGAATTCCAGTGCATTTAAATGTTGTTTCTTCTTCTTATTTCATTCCTCATTTTGTACAGAAACAAGTATATTGTTATTTACAGTGGTCATATATTTTTTTTTCAAAAAATATGTGTTTATATATTGCCAGTAATGTTTAAAGAGTTTATTTTATGGCTAGCTAGATCGGAGGCTTTTTACGAGCAGGACGGAGCCACAACGGAACTCCTAAATCTGGAAATATGTGTGTTACAAAAACAATTGCGAGTTTTTTGTTAAAGTTAGATGTTGAAACAGTGCCTTGCGCAAAATCCCGCCCGGGCAAAAAAGTAAGCATCAAACGCTTTCCGATTGTTTTGTGGCATTTGTCAAACGGAAGATAATCCTCTCCCGCCCCAGTCAGAAGTGGGATGGATGATAATCAGAAGTGGTAAAAAATTATACGATCCCTTTTCTAAGACATATTTCATCGTTTTTCAGCCGGAATCCCTTAGTTTTATAATCCGGGGCTATTAAAAGTAAAAAATAAAATCGAACAGAAGGGGGAAATTCGGGGTGATATATTTAAAACAATAATTCAAACCGATACCTTACAAGGGTAGAGGTTTTTGCATATCTCCGGCTGCGGCGATCAATCTGCGACGTACCCCGTGCGGTCTGACCCCAAAATTCGAAGGGAAAAATAGGCGACGTCGGTCGCAGCTCGGTTCGGCGCAAGTGCGCGATAACAAAGTGAATTTATTGGCGTTCAAAACAAAAAAAAATCGTATATCCACGGCGGACCAAATAACTTCGGCTGTTGGGATTTTTGGTAAGTGTGGAGTATCTCGTTGGGCGACTGGGTGTGGGGTGAATGAAGGAGATTTTTCAGAAGTTACGCCGCGACCGATGCCGTTGCGTTTTTTATGATCGCTTTTTATCATTTTCGCACTTTTACGTAGCGATTTTTAATTAAAAATATCGGTACGCGGTTTATTGGAAGGAAAAAGCGCCCTTGCGGGCTTCGACTTGCGTCGGTAAATTATTTAAGATTTTTTGGTCGAAAAACAAGGGTAAAACAGGATTCAGCAATTAAAAAATCGCTTCTCGATACCTCGTTTTAACTCTATATACAAGAATTCCAGCTGAAAATTACTGTCATATAATTCTTTTCCTTTAAATATAATTTTTTTAAGTATTGCCAACAAAGATGCAACAAAATAAAAAAACAATTCCGTAAACTATATTTAGAACGCTGATAGAAGCACTGATTTTTATTTGGCTACTTTTTATGAGGCAAAATATTACTGGTTTATACGGTAATATTTTTGCCCAATAAAAAACTGATCCCTTTGGTGTGGTGTGATTAATCTTTATCTTTTTTTTTTGGGAAGTTATAAAATGCTCGAGTAAACAGAAGAAACTAGAATGCGTCACAATAAAACAATAAATTCCAAACAGTGAGAACTAATTTTGGTGTGTTCAATTCAATCAGATTTCTTGTTGAATCATTCTTCAATTTTATCAAAATTCACTCAAGATTTGAATTTTGAAGAGATCAATGGATCAATTAGTGATCTTCAACGCTCCGGCCGATGCGACAAGTCGTTGAACACAAATAGTCCAGGTGGTAGAGTAGTAAAAGTAGGCTTTGGCGTTAGTGTTTGAAGTCATTTATTTTGTTGTACAAAAAAATCCCAAATATTATGTAGAATAAGAATCCGAGTTTGCCTATTCCAAAAAACCATTGCTAAATTCAGGGGAACAACGAACATATAAAAAAAAAACGAAACGAAAAACGTTTTTTGACATATTTTCCCTGTAACATTGAAAGTAAGCCCTAAATAAAAAAGTCATTCTTTATTTGACGATTTTCTATAAAGTGACAACAACGAATAAAAAAAGTTGAATTTTGCGTTAACGATGGGCGAAAAATAGTAGAAAATCATAAATATATTTGGAGCAATTTTTAAAATAAGTAAATATTTATAAATATTGATGAAACTTTGTGAACAAATAGTAAAACATATGCCAATTTTCCCCTAAAAATTTTGCAACGATTGATAGTGTGGTTTTCGATTGACAGGATCGTTAATTACGCAAATTTAAAAAAGTTTATCGCGTAGCGTGGGTTTAAATTAAGGTTTAGAAAGGGCACACAATTTTTTAAAGATACTGGTTGTCATAATAAATAATGATTAATACTAAAAATACTTATTTTTACACTTTTATAACCATTTAGAATTTTTTTTAAATTGTTCATCATTTTACTTTATAAACAATTATTATTTATTGCCCAGGGAATTTTCTATGCAATCGACAAAATCTTGCACACATAAAAACTACTCCAAATATACATATGACTTTCTACTATTTTTCGCCCTTTGTTAATGCAAAATTCAACTTTTTTGATTAGCAGTTGTAGCTTTGTAGAAAATCGTCAAATAAACAAAAAATAAAAGAATGATTTTTTTATTTAGGGCTTACTTTCAATCTTGCAGGAAAAAATATGGGTCATTTTTCGTTCTTTTTGTATGTATGTTGTTCTCATGAATTCAGTAATGGTTTTTTAGAATAGGCAAACTCGAATTCTTATTCTACATAATATTTAGAATCGATTGCAAACGAAAAATTTAGAAAAATTAAAAATAAGTGAATTTAAAATCAGTTTCTTCATCTATAGAGAGAGTAATGGGACAGTATGGAGTGTAACTTTTTTAAATTCTCGTATTATCATAATCGTCTTTCTATCGAAACATAGACAAATTTAAACCAGTATAATTTCCAAGTTTTGGTTCTTTTATCTCTGAAAGCAGTATTGGATGTTACTTCTAAAACGGTTTGATATCTAAAAATAATAATCAATTTTAGTAAGATCATTTTCCACGTAATTAAAAGTTTTTTGTTGAATCACTCTTCAATTTTATCATATACAATTGATTGTAAAAGTAAAAATATTAGCAATTCAAAACAGTGAGTTGAAAATTCAATACAAACTCCCAAGTTGGCCAATCTGATCCAGTAGAATTCCATGGTTTTCATTCAAAACTATTTGGTTAAACAATTTGGTATGATCAAGTAAATATAATAGTAGAGGTTTTCTTACTGAATCAATCTTCAGTTTCATCAAGTATTTACAACTGACTGTAAAAGAGAAATTTAGAGTAATTAAAAAGGTGAGTAGAAAATCCAGATACAATTGTCTCTAGAGATAATATTGGGCTAACTTTCTTAAATCCTCATTTATTAGAATTTTGATGATCTTTCTAATTCCATAAGAACATTCTGGCAAATCTGTACTAGTAGAATTTCATGGTTTGTTGCTTAATTATTCTTCAAATTTTAAAGCTTAATTTTTCCAGAATTTCGATGACCTTTCTAGTTATATCGGAACATATTGACAAACCCATTTGAGTATTTGGTGTGACTTTTGAAATTTATAGTTTGTCAGAACTTTGATGATTCTTTTAACTCTGTTGAAATTCGTTGATAAAGCTAATCCAGTTTAGCTTTCTAATTTTTTTATCATCGCTTTGCCTACACCTTTGACCACAGAATTCTGACGGCGTTATCTCGTACCGAGCAACCGGCAGGAAAGCTGGTAAATCATTAAGCGTTTTCCAACACAAAAGCAAACACACAGATTAGTTAACGTTTCGATAAATATTTGGCAGTTTTCGAAACTCACTTGTCGTTGGGCCATGTCGCGACAGGTCACTGCACACCGTCACATCTCGAGATAACTGAACGAATAATCATCAAAATCTCCACACTCGCAATATATTATAAATAAATTATGCTATATTATAATTTATAATTAAGCAAACAAAATTATGATAAATACTGTCAACAGTATCATATTCATATCTGATATCTCTTCCAGAAAATAAAGAAGAAACATTTGTAAATATTGTAATAACCTGT